TTATTTTCTGATATATTCAGTTTAGTAATGACGTCATTACAACGTCGTTTACGTTCAAGGTTCAGGAAAAACTTAGTTGCTTTCTCACCTTCCTTAAAGTACATTGCCCTCGCACGTATTTGAGCGCCCCTAGCTTCGTATTTATAATAATCCTCTAATTGGTTCTTAATTCTCTCGTAGTCATTCAACAGGTTAACATCTAAACTATCATCAATTAGCTTATCAAGACGAAGTAATTCTCTCTAAAGCATTTCTCTGCCTTTCCTTCTTGTTTTGCGCTTGTTTGCGTATAAAAGATAGACAATTCTTTGATTCTTATTTTACAGATTTCGAGGATCAGCTGTGGTGAAATGCCATCGAATTTAACTTTCACATTTTCAATTTCGTTTTGTAAGATTGTTCCTGTAAAATGCTAGTATTAAGACGCCAAACACCCCGCCCTCTATATACCAAATATTGATATTAAATCAGTAATCGGGAAAACGAAGTAAAATGCTGGACGTAAAAATAGGTTTATTGTAATGAAATATCATCTATCCAAATCTCTGCAAAACACAAAAAAAGAAAACAAAAAATGCAATATGAAAACAATTTTAATTTTAACTAAGGCATACTTGAGTATACGCTGCCGCTCGATTTATCTCAAATGGTGGAATGATAGTTCTAGGGCCCATTGTATTTTAACCTGGACGCGTCCAGAACCAATCGTTTTGAGTTTATTTTGTTTCCCGATTTCGATCGTTTTATTGTTGTTTCCATCTCTAAAAACAGGAGAATAGGTGGGGTGTTGTTACAATAAATAACAACACACACGACCGGTTCGCTATACCGCCGTGGCAACGCCATGTAAAACTCCGAACTTAATTTACACCCAAAACGTTTGGAATTATCCAATACGCGGGAGTCTGCAACAAATATGTTCATGACTGACCTCCCTTATCGAGTAGAAACTTCACCATTTCATGATGATTTGTCGCTGCAGCCACGTGAAGTGGCGTTCTTCCGTCTTTGTCACCAACATCGACATTGGCGCCTTTATCAGCAAGAAATCGGGCGACGTCAACATGCCAGCTACTTGCTACCTGTGTTGTGAATTCAAAGAAAACGATAATCGATGTTTACTCAATAACGTTATTGAAGATTTAGATCGAATTAGATCTTGAGAGATTTTTGCATAATCTCGCGATATGATTAGAACAACGAACGACATTTACATAACCACACGCAATTTAAGTAATTCAACTCAGCGACAACTACTTGATTAAAAAACCAACTAATAAATAATGACATTCCGTGAATTTTGTGATAATATGTAAGCATGCATTCTGAATACCTCATGCATAACAGTTTGTCCATATTTGTCCGTACAATTAACATTGGTGCCTCTTCCTAAAAAGCTTTCTACACGTTCTAATGAAACGTTTTCCTCTGGTGGCAAATCTTTAAAATATAATATGAGTTCTTCATTGACCTTTGAGTCGCAGTCTCCCAGTCCTTTGTAAATACGGTTGTCGTCATTGTTGTCTGTCGAAACAATGATAAACATATTGCGAGTAAAAAAACACAAATGTATCTTGACCTCTGGGTCACATCTCATTTGCATATTGTAAGACGACGTGAGTCGATAAATAAAGATGGCTGCATTACTTAGTTGAATCTGTTGTTTGTGTTAAATCCGACGCATCCGGCATTTAAATATCGGCCGCGATCGTTCAATTGGCGACGAGGACGGGATCGAAGTCACAAGTTTAAT